AAAAAAAAAAACAGCAAAAAATAAATTAGTGCTGCTATATATATATACATGATAAAATAATTACTTGGTTGTTTACTTCTTTGTAAATTAAAGAAAAAAGCTTCAAGCAATATTAATTTTTAACGTTTTTTAAAACAGTTAAAACAGTTCTTACAATATCTGATTAAAAAAATTAAATAATATTAATTTAAAAGATGAAATTAAACATACAGAAATATTTTTATATATGATAATTGATTTATTGGTACTGTATTTCCTTGATTAATCAGATACACCTAAACAATATAAAATAATTTTATTTTTTTTTTTAAGTAAAAATACAACAGCAAAAACAAACAAAAAAAAAAATGCTAGTTTAACTAGAAAAATGTATATTTAAAAAAAAAGTATATTAAAATACCCATGTAATTTTAAGTCTTTTTATAAAGGATTTTATAAATATTTTTTACTCACAATACATGATAAAAAAGTAAAATGGTTTAAGATAAAAATGACATTCCTAAAACAAAAAAAAAATTAAAAAAAATAGTTTTATATAAGATAACCGATTTATTGGTCGTTTATTTCCTTGATTAGTTGGATATATATAAATAATAAAAAATATTTTTAAGCAAACAAAAAGGCAAAAACTCAGAATAATTTATTTTATAAATATTAAAAGCCTGTATAAATTACAAGAATAAATACTGAAAATGCCCATGTCAGTTTTTTTTTCTCTAAAATAAATATAAATATTTTTCTTATATTATAATAGATTAATTGGTTGTTTATTTCCTCAATTAATTGGACATATATATATGAAAGCTTGCTATATATATTAAATTCGATTGAGGAAATAATATTATCGATTACGTCATGTCTGGTGGTCAGTGCGCACCTGTTTGAGCAGCTGTCTCTTCTTCTCCTCTCCCAGCTCGTCTCGTCCCTGCAGGTCTCTCTCGTACTGCGCTTTCATGGCCTGCATGTTGACCTCCAGCCGCAGTTTGGCGTCTTCGGTGGCCTGCAGCTCATCCTCCAGCTCCTCCAGCTGCGTCTTCATCTCCTCCAGCTGCTGCTCCATCGAGCGCTTCGACTTCTCCAGATCGTGAACCTGAGACAGAGCCACAAACACCGTCAGATATCCACCGATCCGCCGATCATCTGACGGTCTCTGACGACAGGGAAGCGTCTTACGCTCTTGCCCACGTCGTCTTTAGAGGACACCAGGTCCTCCATCTCGGCGCGCAGCAGTTTGTTGGTCCGGTCCAGCTCGTCCTTCAGGTCAGTGAGGGTCTCCAGCTCGCGGGCCAGCGCTAACACGCGCGTCTCTTTCTCACGGGCCTCGGCCTCGGCGCGGTCGCGCTCCTCGGCGTAACGGCCAGAGATCGACTTCTCCTCAGCCAGCATCTGAAAACAGCAGCGCGTCAACAGTTCAGCAAAACCTTTTACAGGGTTCCTGCAGGATTTTTAAGCTCAAATTGAAGACTTTTTAAGACCTGCACAAATAAAATGAATACCATGAGTGGGGCAGGGCAATGTCTATAGTAACATATTAAACTGTAAAAAGCATGATTTACAAATTTTTACAAAAACAAAAAGTTTTATAAAATTATACACTTCACATTTCAGCCTTTAAACCATTTTTAACAAAATGGATGAGTCAAAAGTATTAATTATTATATTAATTTAAACAATGGTTATCGATAAATTATTATATTAATTAAATAACAAATACATTTTACTGTTTAGATTTTTATAATGCATTATCTTCTTATCGATCCACCAGTTCACATTTACAGCTCTGTGTGTTTGCAGGGTAAAAACATGGGTCGATTTTCACATTGGTCTGAACAAAAACAACCCCAATACTGTGTTCCTACAATACCGGAGTCTGCAGTTTCAGGACCGCAGTTCTACTAGGACCCTATTTATTTATTTATTTGTTGTGACAGCGCCATCTAGCCAATTCTATTGCAACAGAGGAGACCTGATTCAAACATCAAACAAACAGATGCAAAGACTAGATCCATGGAAACTATTAATTTTTTATATTTCCATCTTATTTTTAATGTAAGAGCTGGCGTGAACTTGAGTGTTCGAGGGGGTGTCAGCAATCTCCATTTAGTCTATTTAGCTGTGCAAGACAGTTCATTGTGCTGCTGGATGTTGTAAACTAGTATTTGTATTCAAATTATTAAAAATGTATTTATGTACTAATAAACTCACTGATTTATACCGCATAGGCTACATACAAAAAAACATTTTTTTTAAAAATAATAATAAAAAAAAAGCAATAGGGTCCTAGAAATGCGGTCCTGAAATTGCAGCCTCCAGTATTGCAGGAATACCCTACTCCAATAAAACAGGCTTATTGAAAATGCACATGCATTCTCTGCCATCAGGAGGCGCTTCATTCTCTGCCAGCAGGAGGCGCTTTCGGAACAGCAAAAATATCATTGTTTCCCCGGTAACGGCAGTAAACAAAGCAGCAACACCAGACTCTGAAACACCAGCGCTCGTGTTTATTCAATGAAACCATAGCCTTTTTTGAAGTTTAATCGTCACATTAAAGGGACACTCCACCCCAAAATGAAAATTTTGTCATTAACCACTTACCCCCATGTCGTTCCAAACCCGTAAAAGCTTCGTTCGTCTTCAGAACACAATTTAAGATATTTTGGATGAAAACCGGGAGGCTTGTGACTGTCCCATTGACTGCCAAGTAAATAACACTGTCAAGGTCCAGAAAAGTATGAAAGACATCGTCAGAATTGTCCATCTGCCATCAGTGGTTCAACCGTAACGTTATGAATCGACGAGAATACTTTTTGTATACGAAGAAAACAAAAATAACGACTTTATTCAACAATTCGTCTCCTCTGTGTCTCTCCGCATCACCGTAGCGCCATTTTGGAGAATATCCACTGAACGCAAGCAGCGTACGCTCTTATGTGTCAGCTGCGCCACACAGACATTAACAAACATTATTGTTGAATAAAGTCGTTATTTTTGTTTTCTTCGCGTACAAAAAGTTTTCTGGACCTTGACAGTGTAATTTACTTGGCAGT